GAGCCAGCCTTTCCCCCCCCCGCTCCTGTGTCTCTCCCTCTTCCCCCAGTTCCGTGGCCGCGGGGGCTCCAGCAGAGGCCGACAGAGGGAAACTGACGCCCCAGGGGTACCCCTGCTGCTGGGTGGAGGCTGGTGCTGGAGCCCAAAGGGACCTGGGCTCTTGCCTCCATGCACCAGCCCCATCCTTGTGACTCTTGGAAAGGGGTGGGGCTCGTTCGGCCCTGCGAGAGTGCGGCTACTTGAAACTCGGCTCTCCTCTAAGCAAAGGACCTGGGTAGCCCTGCTTCATTTCCCCCGTCTGCGCTGGGAAGTGCAGCTGCTCTGTGCTTTGCTGCCTGTTGAATCCTCCCGTGGGGCATCTGTCGCGCATGACCCGTGCCTCGGGCTGGTTCTTGATTGGGTTTTCTGATGAACTGTCCTGTAAGCTTTGTAAAGCCTGGGCTGGCGTTAGGACAGGAGTGGAAAAAAATCAAGCCTAGGGGCTGGATCTAACCCTCCAAGCATTTTTCTCCAATCCACCCAGCTAATTAGCAGAATGCATACTTTCAGCTGGCAACATGTGTTGAGCTGCTTCTCTCTCCCTACCCCCTTGCTCTGTCCTGCAGCAGAGCTGCTCCCAGGATTCTCTTGCTAGCTGTGCAGAATGGGTGTGGGGTGGAAGGGGAGTGCTGAAGTAAGGGTGACCCTGCCCTTCCAACTTCTCTGCAGAGGAGAGAGACAGTCAGGGGAGCTGCTTCTACCTGAAGTGACTCAAGGGAGTGCAAAGCATTGGAAGGAGACAACAGAGAAGGACAGATTTCCCATAAAGACAGAGTATAGCTTCTCTCAGAAACAGAGCCAGCACACACACTGTCTCTGTGCCACACACAATCATTGTCACACACACTACTGCACACACTCCGTCTGTGTCACAAAGTCTGTCTCACAAGTGTCTCTCTCTGTAGTCCCCAACTCCATGACTTCTGCCTGAGGCCCTACACCTTGTGAGGGTCTGGAGCCAGCCTGCAACCACATATCAAAATTTGTGAAGTACCTCCCCCCCCTCCCCCCCCCCGTGAAAATGATTGCTCACCCTTGGATTAGATGATTGAATGGTCTCGTTTTACGATCTGCAAATCTCTGCAAACTGCATGTGGCACTGAGCTGCCCCTAATGTTTTTATGTGCAGCCGGCTTAATCCCACAACTGAGTGAGTGAGTAGGGGTGACCAAGGGGGTGCAACTTAAACATGCAAAGGGGCTGGCTAGGGGAAGAACATTAGCCCATCAGGGGTGAGTATGGTAGTGACATCACAAGGCCTTTTGCAGTGCCTCATCTTATTGGTTAAAGTATGTTGGGAAGTGATGACTTCACAGAGAGTCCATGACAATGGCCAAATAGAACAGGATGTAGGGGTGGGGTAATATCAGAGAATATGGCTTTGTTGCAGGGGGGGGTCTCCTTCTTGAAGTCTGCCCTTGAGGCCTGAGAGAGTATTCAGGGTAACGAATGTGAGCATGAGGAGGGAGCCTCTTTGGAGTGTGTTCTCCTTTCCCAGAACTAATTGATCTTGAAGACTAAAGTCCCTGTGGAGAAGGTAAGAGCCTGAGAGAGGTTTGGTGCTGATGCAGCCTGACCCACCTACTGCTGACCAAATGTAAGGCATGGGAGACACTAAAGTTTGGAGATTCCCCCTTATCCCCCCCCCCTTATAAGGCCTTTGTCCCTTATAATCACTCAGGACATTGGAATTTGTCTTTTTTTGTTTCCCTTTTCCCGTAGCTTCCTGCTCCTCAGAGTCTCACTGCTGATTGGATGAGCTAGCAGGGCCACTGACAGGGAGGAGACTCAGGACTTGGTTGTTTTCTTTAAGACCCAACAAATAAGCCAGACTCAATCATCTGCTTGGGGAATTGTTCAGCTTCTCAACATTGGTTGGCTCTGAATAGTTCCTGATTCTGTCAGTTGGGTGTAACAATTCTCTTCTACCAGTCTCATGGTTAGGAAGGTTGGGGAGCTATGAGGAACTGTGTGAGAGTGTTGCTAGCAGCAATGTATTATATGAGGTATCCTATCATGTGGAGTCATTGCAGATGATGAGAGGAAGCAGTAGAATAGACCAGTGGTTCCCAACCACCAGTCTGCAGACTGGTGGCAGGTAACAAACCACTTCTTGCCAGGCTGCAGCACGCTGCCAGGCCATGCCCCCAGCGTGTGCTGTGGCTGGAACCAGGGATGTGGTGAGACTGTTTCTATTGGGGCAGCCTCACTGTGACCCTGGTTCTAGCTCCAGCGGTTGTGGCGCTTGGCCAGGGCCAAGCGTCATGTGGAGAGTGGTTGCTACGACTGCTGGTGCCAAGCGAC